GAAAAGTCATATTGAAATTATTACCATTTTAGTGAAAAGAAAAGTACTAAAAATTCACAAACTCCTCACTTTTGTGCCGTTTCCAACTGTTTTCTTCACTGCATTTACCGCCTGCGGTCGGTCATCCGTACTGCCACTCACATTACTTTCATAATAGTCCACAGGTGGTTCCGGTGGTGGTGCCGTATTCGTCGCTATTCGGGATGTCGCAGGGGCGGCTGCCACTGCTTGAGATACTGCAGCACTGCTACTGCCACCAGTAACTGCTGCTATGAAACTCGGACTTCCATGCTGCAAAAAAAAAAAGAATAAAAAGAATATCTCACATATCCGCTTTTCATTCAAGGGACGTGTTGAGTTAAGACGTATATGAATTAATGGACCGAAACTTCTTATCTCATTCTTAGCCTCCTTCTCTCTCATTTTTTTGTCTACCATACTCTCACCTGTTAGGTTTCCAAGGTCAACCTGATTGCCGCAATCTGCCTATTAATGAAAAAGAGAACTAAAAAGTTAAAAATCCTCCATCTTCACTCTTTGTGAGAAGTGAGGGCACTTGGGAGAAGCTCAACTGATAGCTTATACCAACAGCAGTCACTGCTGGCATCACTGCTGATGGCTTTATCCTGAGCAGTCATTTAGCCTGAGCAGTAATAATACGTCGTTTTATGCATGTTTTAGTTATGCCACTCAGTACCGGTCCAGCCCCTACATTTCCAAATTCCATCCGCTGACAGGGCCCAAACCGCCCGTGGGGTCTTTTTCTTATCTTTAAGGATTACTTAGAAGCAAGCTGATGGTGATTTCGATAAATTAATAAAATACGTCAGTACCGATTTACCATCGAAATAAGTAAAAATCTCTTCGGAAGAATGATTTTAATACTCGTGGAATCGAACTCGCGACATTCAGCCCTCTCACTGCATGCTATCCCCCCAAATAATATATCCTGTGGGGCTGGCAACAAAGACCTTATGGCCATAACTGGTAGCCTTTTTTGAAAAGCTTAAATCTTACGTAAAAAAAGCGACAAAACAAAAAAATAAGAGATTACGCTGGAGAAGCTGGATTCATAGCTTCGTCGCTGCACCTTTTTACTGGAATCCGATGAGCTTGAAGATGCTGTACCAAAATAATTGTATTCCTGTTCCTACAATTAGCTCTATTAACATAACACTGCAATTGGCCTGATGCCAAAACACCTATAATTTTTCACATAACTACGCCAAAACTACAGAAAAAAACCAGCCCTGCCATCTCACTCATCGAGATGCATTAATCTTCAAGTCGATAAAAACTTGGACTAATCAAATTTGAATTTTTATACGTTTTGTGCTGTGTAACTGCAGTAAAGAACGCCCACTGCCACGGGGTTGTCTGTGTGTGTGTTTGTGTGCACGTCCGCAGCAACCTGTCCGCAACTTTCAACTCGGGAACCACAAAAACTAGGAAACTGAAAATTTAGGGGAACGTTCCCCACCCACGTGTGACCCCGCAAAT